GCTTCCTGGCTATCCCATTTACAATCTCTGAAGTCAACCTTCTTCACCAAAGACCATGAGGCTTAATTGTGAAATATATCCAGTCTCTTGAACTCAGGGAAAGCAAATCTATGTACTCCTGCATTCCGCCTTATCCCTTCAAATCCTCTGATGATTGGTCAAATATGAAAAGAGATCGTAACAGCACTGACCTTTATGTAAACCAGCAATCTTAATTTCACATCCATTGCCTATTACGATAATGCCTTTACACTGTGTCATTCAGGTCATAGGTTAATGATCTACTTTGTATTCACTGGAAGTGATCATAGTGGAGTCTCAGGTAGGTCACAAGTTTAAACACAAGGACGTCATCTCCTGTGTGGTGGAGATGCCCACATTTCTCAGACTCTCACTGTCCCACCCACTTGCCTTGTCTTCAAATGCTGGAGCAGAGTCACTTGCCATGTCAATCTAGATCAAAAACTTCAGAACATTCGTTTTAAATTTTATCTTATTTCTGAAACCGTTGATCCAGAATCAATGCACACAAGTGTGCAAACCAGGGTTGAATTGCCCAGTTCTCCCCTACGGTTTCCTGCATGCAGTAACTTGCAGATGTCCCCAACACTGAATGGACAGAGTCTGGAAACTAGAGGTGACCTGGCTCGAGGTCCACATGCATCATTAGCCTCTCTTCATTTCTCACATGCCTTCAATCAAGCAGAGATTTCATCTCCGTCTGCTCCAATGGGACACTTGTTTGTTGCTCCCCCCCAGTAAAAAGAAATGCCAGTTGCTTTTGTGCTTCCATGACAGGAAGGTAGCCAGTTGGTTTTGCCCATTCACAGCCAAGGTTAAGTTGCCTGACTAGCCAGAGAGCGCCACGTCTGTGTCTCAGGTCCGCTAGCACTTTTCACTGCACTGCTGGCATTAATGTGGCATCTTCTCCCCACCACAGTATGACTGAAGCCAGCAACATTCTCCTTACAGATCACAGAAAAATAAACATTCTCCTTATAGGTCTACCATACTATCTGTCCTTTTCATCAGATTCTCCTAGGATTTGCCTGGAATGCCATTGGCACTTGATAAATATCCATGAAATGAACAGATGGGTATCAATAAAGGCAGTTTCTGGATGATATTCTGATGTAATTCTTTGCATGCTGAGAGTTTAAATGTGAGCCTCTGCCTTTACCAAATTATTCCACCTCTCCCCTCAAGTAGGTCCAATGTCCAATAGTGTGGTTGCCCTTAATTAATGACGAGACTACCAAAGGCCCCACATGACCTGCCCCCAGCGCACCTCTTCAGCTTCCTGTCTCTGTCTCTCTCCTCCTCCACCCAAGGTGCCCAGCCAGACACAACTCACTCTCTCCTGTCATGGAGCAGGCTTCTTCTTGCATCAGGCCCTTTGCACAGTATGCTCTCTCAGCTAGAACATTCTTCCATCACTGGCCTAATTCATTCAAACCGGCTCTTCAAGTCCCAGAGCTGATGTCACTTTCACAATCTCCTGACTCCTGTGGGTTAGGTGAGCTTCCCATGCTCCTGGTATTTCCTTATTTCAGTTCTCATCACTCTGCACCGTAAAGGCCTTGCTGCCTGTGGTACCTCTCACCAGGCTGTGAATGTCACACAGGGAAGTGTGTCCCCTGTTGCATCCGCAGGCCCTGACAGATGGGAAATGCTTGCTACACACTGAGTTTTTGTTGGTTGCATGAATGAAATGCATCGGCCATGAGCGCTCTGTTCTTATGTTCTCCAGGAGACAGGCAAGGCAGGATCTGGAGGACAGATTTTGGAATCAGACAGATGTGAGTGGGCAGCCTGAACCCACCCTGACTTCTTCATATAAGACAGTAGAGTAATCCCAGGACTTTGGAAGGCCAAGGTGGGTGGATCGCTTGAGGCCAGGAGTTCGAGACCAGCTTGGCAAACATGGCAAAACCCCATCTTTACTAAAAATAAAAAACTTAGCCAGGCGTGGTGGCACATGCCTGTAGTCCCAGCTATTTGGCTGCCTGAGGCAAGAGAATCACTTGAACCCAAGAGGCGGAGGTTGCAGTGAGCCAAGATCAGGCCACTGCACTCCAGCCTGGGTGACAGAGTGAGAGTAGTATCAATATATATATATACTGATTCAGACTCCAGATAGCTGAAACCTAAGAACAATTCATTTTTAAAATATTAGTCAGCTCATAGAAGCTCTGGGAAAGGTGAGGAAGTGAACATGCCACGGGGCTGGTTCTAAAGCATGGGCAAAGCTTCTTAGACAGTGGTCTCACTGAAGGTGGAGTCTAGCTGCCCACCCACTCCTGGCCTCAAGCGATCCACCCACCTTGGCCTTCCAAAGTCCTGGGATTACTCTATTGTCTTATATGAAGAAGTCAGGGTGGGTTCAGGCTGCCCACTCACATCTGTCTGATTCTAAAATCTGTCCTCCAGATCCTGCCTTACCTGTCTCCTGGAGAACATAAGAACAGAGCGCTCATGGCCGATGCATTTCATTCATGCAACTGACAAAAACTCAGTGTGTAGCAAGCATTTCCCATCTGTCAGGGCCTGCGGATGCAACAGGGGACACACTTCCCTGTGTGACATTCACAGCCTGGTGAGAGGTACCACAGGCAGCAAGGCCTTTATGGTGCAGAGTGGTGAGAACTGAAATAAGGAAATGAATATGGGCTGGCCTTACTGACTTTCAATGAATAGCACATGGCTGTAGAGATGCTGTATGATTTCCAGGTGACACAGCTTCTGCCCGACTCTTTTTTTCTCTCCTCTCTGTCTGTGTATCTCTCTGTCTCTCTATCTGTCTCCCTCTCTCTGCATGTGTCTCTCTGTCTCTCTTTGTCTCTCTCTTCCTCCTTCACTCTCTCAATGTTCTCCCTTGGGACCTTGCCTCCATATGGTGAGGAAGCCAGGTAGCTCCATGGGAAAACCACGTGCAGGTGTCTATGGCCCAGCTAAGATCACAGCCAAGAGCCAGCATCAGCTGCCAGCTACAGGAGCAAGTAGGTCTCAGATGATCCTAGCTCCCAGCCTTCAAGCCACTCACCCAATGCTAAGTGGAGCAGAAATGATTGTCCCTGCCAATCCCTGCACAAATTGCAGTTTCGAAAGCAAAACGTATCTTGCCCCTGGTTTAAGCCCCTACATTTTGGGGTGATTGCTTACATGGTAATAGATAACCCGAACAGCAGCTGTGGCCTCAAGCACCACCCAAACCATGCCACAGGAGCACTGCAGCCAGGGTTGAGGTCCTTACAGTTCATGACATGGATGCTGGGACCCCACAGTCAGTGCTAGAACTTCTGCTGGTTGCCACCATTGTGACCGCGATGAGAGGAATGAAGGGTGGTCAGACAATCTCAGAGTGTGCATGCTGGCTGCAAGCATGGGCTCAGAGGAGGGCACAGCTCTGCTGCTGACCAGCTGTGTGAACTTGGGCAAGCGTCCTAACCACTCTGGGACTCAACTGCTGCTCTCTAAAGTGGGATCGGTAGGGGTGCCGCATGCATGGAGTGGTTGTGAGATTAGACAGATTAATAGATAACATTATTTTCTACCTCACTCCATCACTTCCTGCCTGGACATGCTTTTCTTGTAACAGCTGTTATCACTGCATGACTTTGTCGCATGTACTGATGTGCTCTCTTGTTTGCTGTGCGCTCTCCTTCCTGTTGGGTTCTAAGCTCGATCCAGGAAGGAATTCGGTTCTGCTGTCGCTGAATCTTCAGCACCTAGGAGAGTAGGCGCTGATATGTCAGGCTAGATGTGTCCAGCACCTATCACACACTCAGTGAATGCTTGCTGAGCAAATGAATGAAGTGGCTGATGATATCACCAGAGAGCTAAGATAGGATCTCTAATAACACTAATACAAAATAGACACCATAAGGCTTGTGAGAGAGATGCACAAAGCTAATGGGCTTCAAGGAAAGGGAAAGAAACGAAATCAATGGGCTATTCTAGGAAAGGCTTTGAAGAAGGGGTGCCATAGGGGCTGGGCCTAGAGAGAGAGAGAGAGAGGACTTCAAGAGATGAAGATGTAAGAGAAGATGGAGCTGAGAGAGAATTTGTAAGAGCCAAGACCAAAGCGGGAAGGCCAGTGGGGCCCTTGACTGGTCTACAGCGATTGAGGTTACACAGACCGGCTAAGACCGTTGTCACAAACTTCCAGCATGTCCCCCAAAGAGTAAAATATTCTCCAGGTCCCAAGTGGATTCAGTGCAAGCACCTCCTATTCAGCTCCACCTGGGCCTGATTCTTCCCATGTTGGGTGAGCCGAGAATGAGCCACAGAACCCAGCCACAGAAAAGATCCCAGAAGTTTTCATTCTTTTTCTTTTTTAAGAACACAGGCACAGAGTTGGGCTTTCAATTCTGAATTCTAAATAAGAGAAGATGTCCCATCTTCAGGAGGCCACCCGACAATGTCTAGCACTGGGACAAACAAGCGTGTTTCCAAGAATGCCCAAGAGCATGACGCACCGAAGAGAGTCCATGTTCTACTTAGCTCCTCAAAGGAAACATACTTCTCAAAGGAACACGTGGGAGACAGCAGAGAAGCAACTAGAGTGTGCATTTTCTGCTACGTCTGGTGGGAAAAACCAAATCTGTCACTTTCTGCACGTATTCACATTAAAGAAGGATTCAAAGTTGTCTCTTTAGAAGAAGTGCCAGTACCAACTTGTGTGCCAGGGAGGTGATATTTTGCAATTCGCAGGGTAGAAAGAATGCCATTTTCATCACGTTTAAAATTCAACAAGCAGTGAAAGTTAAAATAATTACCTGTGAACGACTGTGTATGTTTCTTTCATCTAATTAGGTAATCTGCCCAGGTGTTCAGCACCAAGGCCTCTAGGCTTTAATTGGAAAAAGTCAAGGACAGAAACTAATTAGCAGTATTAATCCAAACCAGAAGTCTAAAGACATTAACCACAAATCACTATTGCAATCAGGAACCTTTATTCCAAACCATTTTCAGAGTGAGGGAGAAGGGGAAGAAAACAATGTATTTTTGAGCTTTAGAATATTGACTTCTAATCACTGATTCCAGGCAACTTTGAACCACACAAAGCAATGGAAAGAACTGTGGTTAACAAAAAGGCGGTACAGAATTGAAAGTGAATGAATATTTCATTCATGTCCCCATTTTTAGGCAGGAAATAATTAAACATGAGGTTAGTGCAAAAGTAATTGCGGTTTTTGTCTTTTTTTTTTTTTTAATCTAATGGCAAAAACTGCAGTTACTTTTGCACCAACCTAATACCTCTTAAATTCAATAGCAGTCCGTTCTGTTCATACACTCTTCCCCAGCTATCTCCTGGAGCTCCCTGCAATTTATAGGTAATGAGCTACATGTACCTGAACTTTCAAAGAGCAAATCGATTTTTATGACTTCAAAACTCTCCTAAAAGTACCCTTTGATTCATTCTACTTTTCATCAAAGTAAGAGACACCAAATTACATGAGGAAAGGCCCATAATTCCAAGGTAGCTAACGGGCTATCCTGTGTATAAAACTATAAGCTATTTTTCTTTTTTTTTTTTTGAGACAGGGTCTTTCTCTGTCTTCCAGGCTAAAGTGCAGTGGCATGATCATGGCTCACTGCAGCCTCCACCTCCCCAGGCTCAGATGATCCTCCCACCTCAGCCCCCAAAGTAGCTGGGACTGCAGGTGTGCACCACCACACCCGGCTAAATTTTGTATTTTTTTCTAGAGACGGGGTTTCACCCTGTTGCCCAGGCTGGTCTCAAACACCTGGGCTCAAGCAATCCGTTCACCGCGGCTTTCTAAAGTGTTAGGATTTACAGGCATGGGCCGCCGCACCCCGCCAATAGGCTATTTTTATAATGAGGCGTTTCTGCTCACACTTTTGGCTCTTTTCCAGAATTTTTTCATTTCTCGTAGCATTTACTTAGGAGAGCTGGTGGTTTGGAAACACTAGCAGACACAGAGCACATCGTTTTGATTTGTTTTGTTATTAGTGAGCATAAAACAACATGAACATTTTAGATTTCTAGCACACTGGCATTTTAAGTGATTAATCAGATAAAAGTAAAATTGGATGAAAAGCCCAATTAAGGGTCAGGCTGAAGACAAAAGAAGCTCCACACCAAAGCTGAAGAACCTGAAACACACATCTCAACCCTAATGTGTTGTAACAGAATGCGTTTTTCATTCCCTTCTCTCCACGGATGACCTGGGTTTGCCAGTGTTACCAGCCAAATGCCCCAAGGTTAGCCCAATCTAACTTCAACTTGCGCCCCACCAGGAAAAGGAACTTGAACATCATTTTGAATTTCAGTTCTCTGATTTTCTATTCCTCATTCTCAACCTTCAATATACCTCCCAATCCCCAACCACCCCCCAAATAGACAAAAATTTAGAAAAAGAAAACCCAGCTTTTCAATGAATAAAATCAAGGGATTTGCATAATTTAGTATCTGGCTTTCAGAATTTTTTTTTTTAAAAGGTTTTCACCGCCTCTCCCTCTAGAATATAAACTGACTCTGCCTCATGAGAACATACCTGTGTCCCATGCATTGGTCCTCAAGGGTTTGTGGCTTAGAAACCAAAGAATGTAAATAAAACCTGTGTAGAAAGTGCTGCTCCCAAGCAGCTGCCTTGGGAGGCTCTCTGGGTTTGTTTATTATATTTTTCATACTCTCTTTGTTTAACACAGGCTAGGTTTTTCCCAGCTAGCTATCAAACATTGCTCATGTGTAAGGGTTAAAATAATGGGGTCATTATTGGGCTATTCCCGAGAAACGTGGGATAGAGTCCTACAGCAGACTAGCTGCAGCTGTTAGGCAGCCCAATTGCCAACCACAAGGGAATTTGCTTACCTCTATATCACAATCTCCCACCTTGATAAAAAAAGGAAAAAAAAAACACCCATTTCATTTGGACCGTATACTAAGAATAATTGCCACCAATATTGATTGGCCCTTGGGGACCCAGCTGAATTTAAAAATTGCAGACTGTGAAATCCCAGCTGATGTATCCTCACTGAGATTACTGCCTATCTGTGACAGGTTCCTATGTTTAAACTTATCTACGAAAACTGTGAAATTAATATCCTCGTGTTGAGTACAATACGGTAACACACCCTGCTGAAACGCACAGCTATTTTTGTTCTTATTATTTTAATGCTGGCTCCTGTCTGTGCCCCACTGCGAATCTTTCAGATAATGAAGCATAAGTACATTTGTTATCTGGAGTCTCATGTTCTCGCTGTTTTCTGTTTCTTTTCAGACATTGCACAAATGAGGTTTGTTTCTTTTTGAGCTTTTTTTGCTGCACAATTCGTTGTATCTGGTTTTTAACCTAGTGGGTTCTCACCGTGGCCTCTGGCTTGGGAGTAAAATTATTGCAGTTGTCTGGTTTCTGCTTCATCGTACATGCCTTTGACACAGAAGGTTTGAAGCTAGACATTTCCTGACATGTGCTTTCGTCTGCTAAAATCGGAGAGGAAAATGTACTAGAGTCTTAACTGCTAAATCCACGTGATTAAACTGTAAAGTTCAAATATGTCAAATATGGAAATTTCAAACGTTTCTGAAACTAATCACGGCTAAAAAAAGAAAAGCTCATCATGTGGAAATGTGCCTTTAAGTCGCATGAAATACATATATGACTCTGAAGATGAAAATTTCAGGGAGTCATGGGCTATTAGTCTGGCATAAATAAAACCAGCGGAGAACAATGTCACTGGCTTTCCATGAGACCAGCAGTCCTTTGTTTCGTATTATTATCAGAGTCATTGCAGAATCTCATCTTCCTCTCCATTACAGTTTCATCCCTTCCTCATATTACACACAAATCAAATGTCAGTTTTGAAAGAATCAGAACAATACCATTTAAAAAAAAATAAATATACACAGATAAAAAGGAGTGTTAAGGTGTACACAAAAATTCACAGAGATTCTCTCTGGCTGTTCAGGTTACCTATGATTTTTATTTTCTTCTTCTCACTAATCTCTATGTCCTAAATTTCCTACAATGTATAGGAACGACCTTGGTAACAGGAAAACAATTCTATATTTTTAAATTGCTATAAATACGTAACGTGACTTCTATACTTCATGCAGAAATTATATATAATTTCACTTCCAAGGTCTTTTAATGTGAAAACTATATAAACAAAAAATTAATAGCACTATCAATATTAATACTTAAATTTTATGTTTAAAGAATTTACTTTTATGTTACATTATTTCAAGTTCGTTATGATAAATCCCAGAGAGTAGTCAAAATGCAACTGTTATTGGTTTTTTATTTACTGATTGGTTGGCTGGTTGCTTGTTTGCTTGCTTGGCTGGTTGATTGGTTGCTTGGTTGATTGGTTGTGTGGCTGGCTGGCTGGTCGGTTAGCTGGCTGGCTGGCTGGCTGGTTGGTTAATTGGCTGGCTGGCTGGTTGGTTAATTGGCTGGCTGGCTGGTTGGTTAGTTGGCTGGCTGGCTGGTTGGTTAATTGGCTGGCTGGCTGGTCGGTTAGCTGGCTGGCTGGCTGGTTGGTTAGTTGGCTGGCTGGCTGGTTGGTTAGTTGGCTGGCTGGCTGGTTGGCTGGTTGGTTAGTTGGCCGGCTGGCTGGTTGGTTAGTTGGCTGGCTGGTTGGCTGGTTGGTTGGCTAGCTGGCTGGTTGGCGGATTGGCTGATTGCTTGCTTGCCTGCTTGGGTAATTTCCTTTGCACTTTGGCAGTAGGTTTTCTTATTCTTCGCTTTTATGAGCATTTTGCTTTATTATTATCATCTGAGGCTTCTAACACAGGATACAAATTTTATAAATCCAAATCATAACTAATAAGCAGGAAAGCCTATAAAATATGAAAAATATAAATATAACACACACACTATAATTTATTTTATTATTTCAAATTTCAAAAATAGTTCTAAAAATTGCAATCCAGCTACTTCAACAAATGTTTTCACTAGATTAGAGAACAGCAGAAGGCAAGTCGAAAGTCTTCTCTTATTCCTCTAATAGAGCCATACATTGATTTAAACAGTAACTTAATGTATTTTCAATTAGGCCTTCACACTTTCTGACTGAAAATAGAGCATAAGAAACAGAGACAACGCATATTCCAATTCCTTGGGAAAAATTGTTAGCTTCAGGGAAACATGAGAATAATGTGTTTAAAACTGTTTCGTCTGGAGACTTAATGTCTAGCACGGTGACTATAGGTAATAACAATGTCTAGCACGGTGACTATAGGTAATAACAATGTCTGGCACGGTGACTACAGGTAACAACAACGTCTAGCACGGTGACTACAGGTAACAACAACGTCTAGCACGGTGACTACAGGTAACAACAACGTCCAGCACGGTGACTACAGGTAACAACAACGTCTAGCACGGTGACTACAGGTAACAACAACGTCTAGCACGGTGACTACAGGTAACAACAACGTCTAGCACGGTGACTACAGGTAACAACAACGTCCAGCACGGTGACTACAGGTAACAACAACGTCTAGCACGGTGACTACAGGTAACAACAACGTCTAGCACGGTGACTACAGGTAACAACAACGTCCAGCACGGTGACTACAGGTAACAACAACGTCTAGCACGGTGACTACAGGTAACAACAACGTCTAGCACGGTGACTACAGGTAACAACAACGTCTAGCACGGTGACTATAGGTAACAACAATGTCTAGCACGGTGACTACAGGTAACAACAACGTCTAGCACGGTGACTATAGGTAACAACAACGTCTAGCACGGTGACTATAGGTAATAACAATGTCTAGCACGGTGACTATAGGTAATAACAACGTATAGCACGGTGACTATAGGTAATAACAATGTCTAGCACGGTGACTATAGGTAATAACAATGTATAGTACGCTTGAGATTTGCTAACAGAGTGGATCGTGAGTATTCTCACCGTACACACGCATACACAAAAAGGTAGCTCTGGGAGGTGAAGAATGTGTTCATGAAGTTGATTGTGGTAAGTATATTACGTTGTTTATGTATATCAAGTCATTACATTCTATGCCTTAAATATATTTGATTTTACTTGTCAATTATACCTCAATAAAGCAGGGGCCAATACAAATATATTTTTTAACTTAGCATGCTAATTTTTTAAAAACTGTTTCAAAGCTGAGTCCACAGTGTTGATTTTACTTGTACCAAATATTTCTGCAAAATTTATCCTATCATTTGGTTCACTCCAGTCCCATCCCAGAAACCTGTCACACTTTCAGTTCAGGACCTACAGACTCTTTGCAACCGGCCAGCTTGCTCTCCTGCCATGAGAAGAGGTGCCAAGCCATCAAAGGGGACACTCTCTCCCTAAGGTTAGCTGTAACCTTCCATTAGAGTATCTTCTTGTTATTATGAAACATACTAAGGCTGGTCGTGTTGGCTCACGCCTGTAATCCCACCACTTTAGGAGGCCAATGCGAGTGGATCACCTAAGGCCAGGAGTTCGAGACCAGCCTGACCAACATGTCGAAACCCCATCTCTACCAAAACTAAAAAAAATTAGCTGGGCCTGGTGGCAGGCACCTGTAATCCAGCTACTTGGGAGGCTGAGGCATAAGAATTGCATGAACCCAGGAGGCGGAGGTTGCAGTGAGCTGAGACTGTGCCACTGCACTTCAGCCTGGGCAACAGGGCAAGACTCTGTCTCAAAAAATAAAAAGAAGAAGAAGAAACAGAACTAAAGTTTACTATGTTGGATGTCACTAATTTTTAACTTGTGACTGCAGATGTTTGGGGTTATAAGAGCAGGTGGCAAACCAACCCATTGAGTTACCTTGGCTAAGTCTGCTGGTTTGTTCACAGTCATCATTCTGCTGATTGGAAAGCACAAAAGCTTTGCGTTCCAGGACCTGCCCTTCAAGCTTGGACATTGCAAGAGGCAATTACTAAAAGTTGGCATAACAATGTTGTTCTTTCAGTAGCCACATCCATGCCAGTAGTTATGGTTTACAAAAATAATAAAGGAAGAGGAGGCTCTCCACTTGTTTACATTTGGGAGGTTAGGCCAGACGTGGTGGTTCCTGCCTGTAATCTCACCATTTTGAGAGGCCAAGGCAGGCAGGTCACTGGAGGTTAGGAGTTCAAGACCATCCTGGCCAACATGGTGAAACCCCATCTCTACTAAAAATACAAAATGAGTGCAGTGTGGTGGCGCATGCCCATAATCCCAGCTACTTGGGAGGCTGAGGCAAGAAAATCGTTTGAACCCAGGAGGCGGAGGTTGCAGTGAGGAGAGATTGTGCCATTGCACTCCAGCCTGGGCAACAAGAGCAAAACTCCATCTCAAATAAATAAATAAATAAATTTGGGAGGTTAATGGCTTGACTCTTAGCACAGACACAAAGACGTTACACCACAGATTCTACCAAGAATAGGCGTCAGGAGTCACACATCCCACATCAGAAATAGCCTTTGGAAAACTGCAAACTGGATTCCATGTGTGGTTGGCTGCAAAATAAATCACAAGTTTCTGCCAAACGTTAGATGGACAAAGGAACAATTCACTTTTTTCCCCCCACTGCGATCCATTCACAATGCAGTATATTCTGGAAGGCATTCTAAGGTGTGTTTCATCCACTAGAGAAGACTTTTTAGGAGCGTTTAGTTTAGGAAATACTTGGCTGGCTGAGAAGACAGGTGCACACGCTTATCTGACTACAGAATTTAGGTATCACCTGTGGAGACGACACGAGGCCATAGACGGCCACCACCCTCAAGGTGCCCCTGCCCAGAGCCTGGGGAACAAGGTGAGGTTTGACTGAGGAGGGAAATGGTGGTCCTGCTGAGAGGGCACTCCGCCAGCCAGGGTCTAGTCCAGAAGCTATCAGTCAGACAGAGGGTCACACAGATACGAGACGTCCAGTTAAATTTTAATTTCCTATAAACAATAAATTTTTTAGTATAAATAAATGTCATAAATATTACTTGGGACATAGTAAAAACATTACAGTATAATTTACTATACGTACTAGCATATGTATGAAATTTTATACATGTGTATTATATAATATTGAAAGTTAGGCCAGGCGCAGTGGCTCACGCATGTAATCCCAGCACTTTGGGAGGCCGAGGCGGGCAGATCACCTGAGGTCAGGACTTCAAGACCAGCCTGGCCAACATGCTAAAACCCTGTCTCTACTAAAAATGCAAAACTTAGCCAGGCATGGTGGCTGGTGCCTGTAATCCCAGCTACTCAGGAGGCTGAGGCAGGAGAATCGCTTGAATCCAGGAGGCAGAGGTTGCAGTGAGCCAAGACGGCACCACTGCGCTCCAGCCTGGGCAACAGAGTGAGACTCTGTCTCAAAAAAAAAAAAGTTAGTATGTTATACCCAACACATATTCAAGGTTGATGTGAAATTCAAATTCAACTAGGCATCTTGTGTTTTTGCTAAATGTGGCAACCCTCTCTCATAGCGATTCCCTAGTAGCTTTGGAGGGCAAAGAAGGTATTTCCCTGAGCCCTCCACACAGTTTCTCCTTCTACCATTCCTTTGTCTGCTCAGAGGCCCCTTCCTGGGAAAAGCCTTCGCCGATCACTCTGTGTACCACTGCACCTTTTCCCATGCTCCTGGCCCCGCTAGCCTGCCTTTTCCTCCATAACTAATCACTAGATGACATACTACACACTTTGAGTAAACGATTTTTTTCATCTTTATTCTCAGCCCTTTGGATAATGTCTGCCACAGATTGGGCCTTAAGAAATATTTGTGAAACTGCATGAATGAGAGTGACCACATGGAGAAGGACAAAACACTGATAGTCAAATAAAGACTGAACTAAGGTCAATGAGGATGGTCATTTCTGCTCATCTGATACATCTGTGTATTTTAGTCAGCGCTAAAATGCCTAACAAACCAGATAATGATTGGGTAAGTCTGAGGTGAGGCCCAAGATTCTGTAGCCCTACCAAAGTCCTCGGTGATGCCGATATAGCAAAGAGAGTCCTTGAAGAGAGGCCGGGCATGGTAGCTCACACTTGTAATCCCAGCACTTTGGGAGGCTGAGGCAGGCTGATTGCTTAAGGCCAGGAGTTCAAGACCAGGCTGGGAAACATGGTGAAATCCAGCCTCTACCAAAACATGCAAAAATTAGCCAAGCATTGTAATGCACACCTGTACTCCCAGCTACTCAGGAGGCTGAGGCACAAGACTTGCTTGAACCCAGGAGGCAGAGGTTGCAGTGAGCCAAGATCACACCACTGTGCTACAGTCTAGGCAACAGAGCGAGACTCCATCTCAAAAAAAAGAGAGAGAGAGAGAGAGTCATTGAAGAGAGCCTGGATCTAAGTAAAAATAAAGAGCAGGTCACAACCAGAAAAGTCTGTGGTTCTGTTATATCATTGGACAGTGTGACAAAATGTAACATGTTTTTAAAAAATAAAAATTCTCTATTCCTAAATCTTGAATAGATTCCGATTCCTATTTCAGAAATCATGCAGTCTGATGAGCGTCCCTTAGCTCTGGAAGAAGGGATAAAAACAGAGTACAAGAATAATAAAAACCACCTCTCCGAGATGAATTGGAGAAAGGGTGCTAATCTCCCTGAGGCGATGTCTACAACTGCATTTGATCAGGATGGCAAGAAAAGTTTCAACTGATGCCTTGAGTAGAGACAAGAGACCTGCCTTTTTTGGTGACGTTGAATTCTACAACACAGGCTCCGAACCTCACTCACCACATCTTGACAACTGTCACCATGAGAAAAGTAGGAAACACTCTCTCATGTTCCCAAGTACTCACCATACCCAAAAAAATAAGCAAAAACTTACTTTAAAAAAATCATTTGTAGGCCAGACGCAGTGGCTCATGCCTGTAATCCCAGAACTTTGGGAGGCTGAGGCAGGTGGATCACCTGAAGTCAGGAGTTCAAAACCAGCCTGGCCAACATGGTGAAACCCCATCTCTCTACTAAAACCAAAAAATTAGCCGGGTGTGGTGGTGGGTGTCTGTAATGCCAGCTACTTGGGAGGCTGAGGCAGGAGAATCGCTTAAACCCAGGAGGCAGGGGTTGCAGTGAGCTGAGATCACACCACTGCACTCCTGCCTGGGGGATAGAGCAAGACTCCATCTCAAAAATAATAGTAATAATAATAATTTGTTTTCAAAACAGAAGTCTTCTAAAAGATGAATTCCAATTCTGTATACACCTGCAGGGATGTACTTGCCACGTCCACTGTCTAATATGCTTCACTTTCTATGAATTAGGAAAAAGGTTATAAAGCGCTACCATAGAGTTACGATCAGCCTGCAATCTGTGAGCAGTGGTTAAAAACTCACATGTTTTCTCAATTGTGATCATTTAAACAAATAATGCTTACCTACAGTTCACAAGAAATCAGTATATAATTAAATGCTGTTCATACCCATTATGCTTCTTCTTTCAAATATAAGTAAAGGAAAAAATAAATTATCCATTAAGTTGCAGATATATGTAAAGATGCTTTTTGTAATAAAAGCAAAACCACTTGAATCTGACCTGTGATTAGAAGTAACAGACATTTGACCGAATTGGAACCTCTGGCTCAAGAGTGGTCATGTTTCTCCAGTATTACCTCAACGAGGAGGGAGATCGGGTCTATACGCTGAAGAAATTTGACCCAATGGGACAACAGACCTGTTCAGCCCATCCTGCTCGGTTCTCCCCAGATGACAAATACTCACGACACCGAATCACCATCAAGAAACGCTTTAAGGTGCTCATGACCCAGCAACCGCGCCCTGTCCTCTGAAAGTCCGTTAAACTGATATCTCTTCTGCTGCTGGTTACCCCTCAGAGACTCCATAACCAAACTCTTCAATCCGTGAGCCCTGATGCCTTTTTGCCAGCCATACTCTGTGGCATCCAGTGTCATCATGGCGATTGATCATGCTTGTGTGAGCCTATCATGGTGGCATCATCCGTAGAGGGAGCATGTTTGACTTTTCTCATACTTTAAATTACTGCGAGATTATTAAAGATAAAATGATTTGAAAAAAAAAAAAAAAAGAAGGAACAGACATTTGAAATTCATTAACTTAATTCGTTGACAGTATAACCAGGTTAGGTATCAATGATTCATTCAGTTTTCTTTTAAGCATTATTCATTGCTTGATACTATTTAGGATCAGAAAACCATTAGTGTCGTGAAATTTTAAGTTTATGATCTGGGACGGCCAGGGGTAATGTGGCTCACGCCTGTAATCCAAGCACTTTGGAGGCCAACGCGGGCGGATCACCTGAGGGCGGGAGTTCGAGACCAGCCTGACCAACATGGTGAAAGCCCGTCTTTAAAAGAAAAAAAAAAAAGAAAATTTATGATCTGGGCGGCCCGAGTCTAGTCATGCCTCTGTCGTCAATCTGTGGTGTGACTTCTAACAAGAGTTTTTATCTCTCTGGATCTGTTTCCTTGCCTGGAAAATGAGGAATTTGATACAAAGATTACCTCGCAGATTCTCTCCAACTCAGATATTCTGTCATTTCACACTCACTTTAAAATAGACTGTCAGCGCCCTACGTCTCTTTTCCTTGAGAAACAGCGCCACCTCCGGGTCATAATGACCATAACCGAGCTGATCGCGAAGGTGCTTCTCAGGCTGGAGCCATTTACCCTGATCCACAGAAACCCTTCCCCGGCAGGGTTTCCTTTGGGACGGGGTCACAAAATTGTGAGTCTGCCTCTGGGTGAAGATCAGTGTGTATGGACATGGAGCCAAGCTGAGCTAACTGGCCCACAGGGGACAGATGCATGACCTTGGCCTAATTATCACAGCTCCAGCTAACAGTTTGCCCACAGCATAGCTCCTTATGGAACCCTGTAAAGAAAAGGAAGTAAGACATATGCTGGATGAACTAAAGTCTACAGAACAATGATGATGGACACACCTCTTCTTTAGGCAATTCCACTTGAGTGAAAACTGTTCTTATTTTAGCACGTTATCTACTTTGATATACTTTATTAAGAAAAATTACGGATGGGTGCAGTGGCTCACACCTATAATCCCAGCACTTTGGGAGGCCGAGGTGGGCGGATCACCTGAGGTCAAGAGTTCGAGATCAACCTGACCAACATGGAGAAATCTCATCTCTACTAAAAATACAAAAATTGGCCAGGCATGGTGGCATATGCCTGTAATCCCAGCTACTTAGGAGGCTGAGGCAGAAGAATTGCTTGAACCGGGAGGCAGAGGTTTGTGATGAGCTGAGATCATGCCACTGCACTCCAGCCTGGGCAACAAGAGGGAAACTCTGTCTCAAAAAAAAAAAAAAAGAAGAAGAGGAAAAAGAAAAATTACATAGTGAACTCTTAAGTAAATATCAGGTTTTTTTCACCCAGCAAATATTTACTGAGCAACCAACCACTTAATGCCAGCACAGTGCTAAGCACTCTCACAAAATCACTTTCATTGAATTTCCACAACAGCCCTTGCGAGAGAGGAATTCGTATCTTCATTTTTCAACACAAGGAAATTGAAAATGAGTGAGGCCCAGAAACAGTAGAGCTGACAACAAGCTTGAATATGCAGACACATGCTTTCCACACAGTCCTCCTCTGAGGACATGACGCAACAGCTCCTTTTCATGAGCACAGTGTGGCTCTACCAACTGCAGTCACAGTGGGGAGGCAAAGGCCACTGGAGAACTCGGTTTATTTCTCTGCAGTGTGATCTGTACACAGAAAATAGCCCTATCTTTGCCCGCCATCCTCAGCCATACCTCCCTAACCCGGAAGGATAAGGGGATGGATGCCAGGCAGGATAACGGGATAAGCTCATTTGTTCCTAAGTATGTAAACAAGGATCCTTCTTAGAAACAGCGAATGTTTAAGGTTGTCCCTTTGATCACATCCCAACAATCCCTAAATTCCATAGGCTTTCTTGGTAGGGAAAGGGGCGGAGCAACTGTTAGCCCATGGAAATACATCATATCTGGAAATACTATGTTTCCTGCGCATCACAGAAGAGAGAAGCATTGCCCAGTGCTGGAGATACACCAGCTACAGGTGTATCCTGTATATCTTACTCTTTCCTGTATCTATATATGTTTAGACAACTCTGATTGGTGAGATTTGTAACCCCCACTGTACTTTGCAAAATATTGGCACATACATTTAAAGTTGCTAAATATTTGCTGATGTGCTAGAAAAAAACACATAGTCTACATGCAGAAAACAGGAACTACACAAGCTAGTGCCATCAGACATATTTCAGATGTCAGCTGAGTTATTGTAGATCAGAGCCCAAGGACAAAGCTTGGCTGAGAGGGGGATAGGGGAAGTGCCTTGGGACCTTTAGATTATGGGTGGAAGGAAGAAAAGACCCACATGGAACAAGACACTAGAGTTGGATTGACCCTTTGGGAAAGGAGAAGTTAAGATATGACATCTAAACCTCGAGGCAGATGACAGAAAAAGAAAGAATAATATATTGTGTAAGCAAACAATTTCTTAATTTTAAACATGTTTTAATATTCAAGTGAAATTGCGCTATTCAAGGCTGAATGATCACTAACCTGCCGCTAATCAGAAGTTGAGAAAGAAATGCTTGGCAGTCGGAATCCAGTTTTTGCACTTAATCAGAACCGGTATTGTCAGTTTCATGGTGTCTCAAAAGCTAAGACTGAGAAGGAAAAAGGGAACAAAGCCAGGCTTGTCACACCACCATGAACTGGAGCAGAAGAGCAGAACCGTCCCCATGGCACATGTTCCTGAAAAAGTATCGTGCAGCAAACCCTAACCACGGCAGCAGTGGCTGAGCTAATCCTGGCTGGAACCCAGTAAGGCCCTTCTCAAGTCCCAGTAATGACTATGGTAGATGAGCAATCTATCTCAATGTGTCAATATCATCTATGTTTCTACCCCGCTAGCATCCTCTTTTCCTTATTTCTACCCCACCCTCAATCAACCATGCCTCCTCTTACAATTTCTAGTCTGCAAGAGACTAGGACATTAGAGAATCTAAAACTAGCGTGGGGCATAGAGGCTGCTGTGGTTAGGGCTTGCTGCATCATAGATCTGTTTGGTTTCATAGGAATAACGCAAGACAGAAAGTGATGGCAAGTTCAACATTCTGACTGAAATTCACCAAACCTTGTCTCCAGACTTGCTGTGTTTAGTTTCGGCAACACAACTTGACTCCCAGGAGGAGAGCCAGGATAATGGCATGAATCTAACAAGAAACCATGAACCAGGAAGCAATTCTTTGCTTATAAGAGCATATTTGCTTGTGGGTTCTTTCTAGGAGAATAGACTTGAGATGACAATGTTTTATAAAAAGATAGTTTTGGCCGGGCGCGGTGGCTCAAGCCTGTAATCCCAGCACTTTGGGAGGCCGAGGCGGGTGGATCATGAGGTCAACAGATCGAGACCATCTTGGTCAACATGGTGAAACCCCGTCTCTACTAAAATTACAAAAAATTAGCTGGGCATGGTAGTGCTGCCTGTAATCCCAGCTGCTCAGGAGGCTGAGGCAGGAGAATTGCCTGAACCCAGGAGGTGGAGGTTGCGGCGAGCCGAGATCGCGCCATTGCACTCCAGCCTGGGTAACAAGAGCGAAACTCCGTCTCAAAAAAAAAAAAAAAAAAAAGATAGTTTTGCTGCGCACGGTGGCTCATGCCTGTAATCCCAGCACTTCAGGAGGCCAAGGCGGGAGGATCATGAGGTCAGGAGATCAACACCATCCTGGCCAACATGGTGAAACCCCATTTCTACCGAAAAGACAAAAATTATCTGGGTGTGGCGGGGCACACCTGTAGTCCCAGCTACTCGGGAGGCTGAGGCAGGAGTGCTTGAACCCGGGAGGCAGAGTCTGCAGTGAGCCAAGATTGTACCACTGCACTCCAGCCTGGTGAGAGAGCAAGACTCTGTCTCAAAAAGAAAAAAAAATAGTTTTATAAAAAAAATACTAGGAAACTATTTTTTTGTTATGATGACACACGGACCTTCAGCCATGTGGCTGTATCTTCCATCCTGGTTGCACTAGTTGATTCACAGTCATTCCCTGAATGCCCCCACCACAGTCCTCCCCACACTACCCTGTCCACTCACCCCCACCCCAGGACCATCCCCCACCTCAACTCATAAGTCCAGCATCCACAGGGTTAATGGTCCACACAGTACAGAGCCACAAAGTTGCTAAATAGTGTCACTATCAACCCCGACTACAGGTGAAGGATTCTGCAAAGAACTCTACGAAGATTCTCTATTCTTTATTCTATATAGATTCTGTAAAAGAAGAATCCAAGTACTTTGCTCTGTACCAACCAAACATGAAAAACTGTTTTCAGGGCATTATTTGGCTTTTAACACAAAGAAACCAGCAGAGGGAGCCACTTCCTAATATAAAAGGAGTTACAGGCCCTTCTAAGACAGCCACTTTTAGTAGTATCATTCCGCTAGGGCTGCCGCAGACAGGTGGCGCCAGCAACAGAAATTTTCTCACAGTTCTGGAGAATTTAACCTTTAGATTCTCCAGTGGGCTGAGATCGATGCAGTCCGAAATCAAGATGTCAGCAGAACTGGTTCCTTCTGAGGTCTCCCTTCATGGCTCGTAGATGGCAGATTGCTGAGTCTTCACGTGGTCGCCCCTCTGTGTATCTGTGTCCTAATCACCTCTTCCTATTAGGACACCAGTTAGATCAGATTAAAGCCCCCTCCCCCCATGACCTCATTTTACCTTAATTACTTCTCTAAAGGACCTTTCTCCAAATACAGCCACATTCTGGGAGGTACTAGGTGATAGGACTTCAGCATATGTATATTTGGGCATATATGTCTTTGAAATTTGTATATATTTCAAAATGTTTTTCCACTGTTTTCTAAAGGTTAGACTTTTAGACTAACCATTGCGACTCCCATAAAAAATCACTGGCTGAAAGTCTTTGTCCCTCCACTACATTGGGACACATCCATGGTGTGCTCAGATGGGAAGAAATTCCTACCTGAGCCCCTGCCTTGGGCAGGTCCTGCAGGTTCACGTATCTATATACAGAAGGAAGTCTTGAAGGTACGACAGACGCAGGGCGGCTGCCAGCCATCTGCAGAGGCCCAAATGAAGAGTGGCAGTTGTTAAGACCAAAACAGCAAGGGCCGTCTCAGACATCTTAAAGTCCAGCCTGAAAGACCGTCTCCTCCCTCTGATTCCCCCACTTCTGCCCCAACTTTACACACCCAAGGCCTGGCAGTTCTGCTGATTGGCTAGCCTGGATTTGCACAGAGAACAGCTCACTGAACCGGATGTGCTTCATCGACCCCATGGTGGAACGGTAGCATTCTGACTGCAATGAGGCATCCGCAGCTTCCTCAGGCAGATTCTTGTCCCATACACCCCTTACTCACAGACTTGGAGCTGGGATGCTGGCAGTTACCTTCACCATGCTAACTGGCTTACAGACCCACTACAGACCTCACCCTGCTATCTCAAAATGTAATCTACCCATGTCTAAAGGGTTGTTGTAAGGATGCATGAATGCACCTAACTAATTATCAATGACGCTTGTTTGCGATAATGTGATTGCAATAATATCTTGTTTGCAATAATATCTTGCTGTACAATCACTTTATTGCAAACAAGCATCATTAGAAAAGTATTGTTAGAACCTTCTTTACAAAACCATGTATAAGAGATTTCACACAAAATAGACCATTATCGCTGCCAGCATAGTAGATGAGACCCAGAAAGAGCAGTCCTTTGCTTAAAGTAGGATTCTATGTGCATTCACTTTACTATCAGATTACTGTGACTTACTGAGTGTACAGTAATGTGAGAGGTGTAATTTAATTTCTCAAAGAGATTGAAAGCCAGAACCTGGGTTCAAAGGGCAGGCAAGGCTTGCTGCTTTCTTTTCTTTTCTTTTCCTTTTTAAAATTCTTTTCTTTTCTTGTTGGAATAGGGTCTCACTCTGTCACCCAGGCTGGAGTGTAGTGGCATGATCATGGCTCACTGCAGCCTCAACCTCCTGGACTCAAATGATCCTTCCACCTCAGCCTCCCGAGTGCTGGGACTACAGATGCATACCACCATTCCAGACTAATTTTTAAATTTTTTATAGAGACTCCTAGGGGTCTCCCTATGTTGCCCAGGCTGGCCTCCAACTCCTGACCTCAAGCAATCCTCCCACCTCAGCCTCCCAAAGTGCTGAGATTACAGGCATGAGTCATCGCGCCTGGCCAATGCAAAGCTTTCCACACCCTTCTGGGTTGGGGGATAGGGGCAGGTCTAAGGAAACAGCGGGTAGTTCTGAATTAACACTGAATCCCTCAGCCATTGATTCTACACCCCAGAAGTCAGCAGGGGGCTTTCCCTTTGGGGCAGGAAGTGCCATTGGCTCAGCCCTTTCAATATCATGATCCAAGATGTCAACTCATTGGCCCTGTGTCCTGTCCTCGGATCCCCATTTACTCTGTTGTAACCTCAGGACCTCCTCGAGCTCTGCCAAAGGAATCCACTCACACAAAAGAAGCACTGTGGGCACCCTGGAAAGTCTGACAGAGAGGCGGGGAGGGGTGTGGGTCAACAATTACAGCTCATACTCCACAGCGAATAACCTCACAATAGTGCTTTGATATTTCTGATTTCCCACACCCCTTCCCCAATGCCCTCTCTGGAGGGAGCAGAGGTCTGTGCTGTCTGTCTCTGTCTCTCTCCCTCTCTCCTTTGTCACACAGTGCCCACCCTCCCCGCAGCCCTCACCTAACCCCCTCAATCGCATGCCCCACCCTCCCTCTAACCCACTCAGCGCCAGGGTGGGCATCTGCAGGAAACTCTAGCTCCCCCAGCCCCTATGCCAACTGCAACCCCTTCTACAGCTCCCCTGAACCCTCCCTTTAACCAGCTCTACCCTTTTTAATCCATATTTTAACTGTCATCTTAATTTTCAAAATGTCTGTTCTCTTAACAATCTGTTTAATCAATTCTCATTGAATGCCTTCTGCATGATGGTCACCACGGGGCTATGGAACCAGACCCTGGGGTTAGGATCCTGCCTTCAACACCTACTGTGTGACTTTGGTCAAGTTAATTACCTCTCTGGGCCTCTATTTTTTTGTCTACAAAATGGAAAAGGTGATAATAGTAACTGACTCTTAGGGTTGGTGTGAGAGAATAAGCTGCTGAGTTAGTGGCTGGATGGCAGGGACAGCAGTGCCCAGCATGGAGTGAGTGCTCCACTGTGTGGAGGCGCCAGAGGAATCCAATAAACACACAGAGGGACAAGCAAACCCGCAGTACCGGGTTGCAGTGACGATGGTGGAAGTTCAGGATGCTTGTGGGCTTGATAGGAGGGTTCCCTAACCCACAGTGGGGTGTGAGATCGCATCACCAACCCCAACAGGCTCAAGGCTGTGTGCTGAAGTTCCCGCCACGTTACCCTCAGGGTCAAGCCACTTCTGATCACAATCCAATTCACCTACATCACATACACATGGCACACACACACCACACACACACCGCATACATACACACACACACCACACACACACCATACACACACACACCATACACATACATACAGACCATACACACCCACACACCATACATACATACACCACACACACACACCATACACACACACACCATACACACCCACACACCATACATACACACACCACACACACACCACACACACACCATACACATACACACACACACCACACACACCATACACACACCCACACACCATACACATACACACAGACACCATACACACACACACCATACACACCCACACACCATACATACACACAGACATCATACACACACACACCACACACACCATACACACACCCACACACCATACACATACACACAGACACCATACACACACACACACACACCATGCAAATGCCACATATACACATACACAAAACTACATTTGCCACCCACACAGCACACACACATACCACATACACCATGCCCCACGACAGTAACACCGTATGCATGCCACACATACATATGCACACACACACACAGACCATGCAAATGCCACATATACACATAACACACAAATACCACATCTGCCACCCACACACCACATACACCATGCCCCGGACAATAATACCACATGCACGACACTGACACACACACACACACACACCATGCAAATGACACATACACACATAACACACAAATACCACATCCAGCACCCACACAGCACACACACACACCACATACACCATGGCCCCCGACAACACCACCATATGCACACCACACATACACACACACACACACACACCATGCAAACACTACATACACACATAAACACAAATACCACATCTACCACCCACACAGCACACACACACCCCACATACACCACGCCCAACAGTAGCACCATATGCATGCCACACCACACACACACACACACACACACCATGCAAATGCCACATACATACATACATAACACACAAATACCATATCCGCCACCCGTACAGCACACACACATACCACATACACCACAACCCCCGACAGTAACACCACATGCATGCCAAACACACTCACACACATACACATGCACACACACACGAAACAGCTCCCTACTTCCCTCCTATGTACTGTGTGCCCTGCTATTTTCTACTCTCTTACGTTTCATGCCATTTCTTCTTCTTTTTCTTAATGATGTCTGGGAGTCACTAAGTTGATTTCAGGACCCACTAATAGGGTCAGACCCACTAATAGAGCAGGACCCACTAATAGGGTCAGACCCACTAATAGAGCAGGACCTACTAATAGGCTGAGCAGAAAACACTGACTTGGAGGAAGGCAAAGAAAACCCCTAAACCTCTGTGAAATGGAGCTTCGACCTGTGGTCTGCCCTTGACCTCTAAGTGGGGTGGGCCTCACACTAGGGGTGCTCTGTCCTGAGACATAGCCATAGCAGGAGCCACCTCACCACTGGGCTGCCCTGGCCAAGAACTGGAGAAGCAGAGCCTCATCACCGGCTGGGACAAGGGCAGCCCCAGGAGAGACCTTTCACGGTGTCTGCACGGCTCCATGTGACCTAAGAAAAAGCCTCGCCGGTTTTTGTTTCTAATCACCCCTTCACTTCGCAATGGCCTGTGGGTTTCCTTTGCCGCCTTCTAAATCAGTGTTTTCCAAAGTGCAGCTGGGTCATGACATCCATTTAGTGAGTCTCAGACAATTTTTATTTTTAGACAGACGGAGTCTCCCTGTGTCGCCAGGCTGGAGTGCAGTGGCACAATATCAGCTCACTGCAACCTCCACCTCCCAGGTTCAAGCGATTCTCCTGTTTCAGTCTCCCGAGTAGCTGGGACTACAGGTGTGCCCCACCATGCCCAGGTAATCTTTTTATTTTTTTCTATTTTTAGTAGAGACGAGTTTTCACCATGTTGGCTAGGATGGTCTCGTTAACATTTTTTAAAAAAGAAAAAAAGGCATGGGATGGGATAAGACAGGATAAAGTAGAGCATGAGGCACAAGGATGTGTGTGTGTGTGTGTGTGTGTGTGTGTGTGTGTGTGTGTGTGTGTTGGGTTTCAACTTTCAACTGTCAACTCCGCTATTAATAGGCAAAGCTATAAACACAAGGCAAAATCCATCATGTCTAGTGATTCAGACCCAGAAGTACAAAGTGGAGCAACTTGAGAAATTACAGGCTGAAAAATACACACCTGAAATGACAGCCCATGACTGAATCTGCCACAGGATGACTCAGTGGTTGCTGAGGAATTTAGCATCTGGACCATTTCCTCCCCTAGTTAATTTTCAACCCAGATGATCCTATCTCCTGTTCCAGGCAGACACATCTCTGAGCTACGACCAGAGTCCCTGTTCAGTCTTAGTGGGTGACTCAACCCCCTGAGAGGCACTTCAGGAGCCCCTGGGCCGAGATTGCTTTCCTCTTCTATGCCTATCCCAGCAATTCGGCCACTGCTCAAAATGTGGGAATTCCTGTCTGGAGTTTCCCTCAAAGCTGCCACTCAGTCCTTAGACCACGTCTGAGCAATGTCTGCGTCACTAGAATATTTGGCATTCGTTAAGTTTGTTTATTTTTCTTTTTTTTTTTTTTTTTTGAGATGGAGTGTCGCTCTGTTACCCAGGCTGGGGTGCAATAGCATGATCTCAGCTCACTGCAACCTCCGCCTCCTGGGTTTCTGGGTTCAAGCAATCCTCCTGCCTCAGCTTCCCAAGTAGCTGGGATTACAGGCACATGCCACCATGCCTGGCTACTTTTTGTATTTTTAGTAGAGATGGGGTTTCACCATATTGGTCAGGCTGATCTCAAATTCCTGACCTCAGGTGATCTACCCACCTCAGCCTCCCAGAGTGCTAGGATTACAGGCGTGAGCCACTGCGCCATCTGTTTCTTTAAAAAAAAATTGTTTTCTCAACTAAAACTTAGGACAAGGGGTGTCTTTTTTTTTTTTTTTGAGACGGAGTTTTGCTCCTGTTACCCAGGCTGGAGTGCAATGGCGCGATCTCGGCTCACTGCAACCTCCACCTCCTGGGCTCAGGCAATTCTCCTGCCTCAACCTCCCGAGCAGCTGGGATTACAGGCATGCACCACCATGCCCAGCTAATTTTTTGTATTTTTAGTAGAGACAGGGTTTCACCATGTTGACCAGGATGGTCCCGATCTCCTGACCTCGTGATCCACCCGCCTTGGCCTCCCAAAGTGCTGGGATTACAGGC